AAAAAAAAAAAAAAAAAAAAAAAAAAAAAAAAAAAAAAAAAGTCTGCAGCACCCGCGCGCGCCCAGGCGGCGGCCCCGCCCCCGCGGGTCCTGCAGACTGGGCGCGCCGCTGCAATGCGGGATGCGAGCGGGCCCTGCCCCAGACGAACGGTTGTGGGAGCTTGGGGCGATTGGTGCAATCTGGGCGAACCCGGGGACTTGCGAGGTACCCGGTTTTCAAGGTGAAGCATCCTAAAATGCAGAAACGTGTGGTCCGGATAGCCCAGCTGATTCTATTCTTGTGACCACACTTGATGTGTGAGTTTTGCTTTTCTCCTTGCTTTAACGTCTGTGCATTCCCTCCTTACCGGCTACTGTGAAAGCCCTTTTTAAAGCCCAGTAGCTGTACTGGATATGTTGTAATGGCTCACTCTCAAAACTAAAGGTACCAAGCAAGTGCTGGACGCAACTTGAATCATCCAAATGTTAAAATAAGTTTGACTAGGCCCCATTTTAGCCTTAAGCTACCAGCTTGATGGAATAACCCTAAGTAAGGCGTCTTTCAAAAGATTTTAAAAGTATGAAATGGTAACTAGAATTGAAGTGAGGAGAAACTAAAAGCAAAATGTCTCACTGAAGAATCTAGGAAACAAGGTTTCTCGTGCCGTGCAAGTGTTCTGAAAGGACCGCGTGACGTTGTGTTGAGCTCCGTGATGACCAGGTTATAACCAATAAACTCCCCTTTTATTCCGGGGCCATAAATTACTACTGACCTTAGGAATCCATAACGTTAACGGTACAAGGGCTAGCATGTGGCTTTAAAATGGCCTCACTGAACGGATTGCAATTACCAAACTATTCAAAATGTCTTCCTGGCAGTGGTGGCCGGGAACACAGATCCTGTGCAGGCTGCTCAGTGTGAGACTCCCCCTTTCAGAGCCTCAGGCGCCTCCTAGTCAGGTGCCCCGGGATTCTTGACATAGTGCGGCTGAGCAGATTCCAAGAGTCCCAGTGAAGGAATGCCTCAGCTAGTTAGTTATCAGGAGAAAGAGCAAACACTTGAGGTGAGGTGCCTAGTGTTAGAAAACGAAGGCCCGGAAGTGCTTCAGCCGCAGCTACTGTGTAGGTCATGGGGGCGGGGAGGGAGAGGGGGACTCTTGAAGTTACAGTGTTTCAAAGAGGTAATCTGGGCAGGCCCGTGAGGTTTAGTGGCTACCCAGAATGACCTTTCTGGGCTAATCCCAGGTTAGTGAAGCCATATATATCAAAAACAAACAAGGTGGACACAAAAATACACCCACACATAAATAAATGGGATAAATTTAGAACAAAACCAAAAAACTCTGAAAATTGATCACATACATGCTCATACACACGTGTGCTCACTTATGTGCCCATGTACACAGCCATATACATACACTAAAATAAATAAAATGTAATATGTAACTAAAGTTAAGGGAGAAGAAAATATGATCTCATTATCTCATTTCCTTGTAGAAAGAAGGGTGTTTGGCCAGGTGTGATGGCGCACACCTTTAATCCCAGAATTTGGGAGGCAGAAGCAGGCAGATGAGTCCGCAGCCAACCTGGTCTACAGAGCGAGTTCCAGGACAACCAGAGCTACACAGAGAAATCCTATCTGGGAAGTGTGGATAGTGGTTACTGATCTCTCTCTTTCTTTCTCTCTCTCTCATTCTCTCAACAGGGTCTCACTATGTTGTGCTAACTCTCCTGTAACTAGCCATGTAGACCAGGCTGGCCTCAAATTCACAGATCTGCCTCCTCTGCTTCCCAGGTACTGAGAATCTGCATCTGCTACCTTGTTTGGAAACTTTTTTTAAATTTAACTATGGGGTCAGAATGGTAGGCTTTCTTTTGGGCCATCAACCAGCTCCCAAATATATGACAGGGAGACTTATTAGTTACAATTGCTTGGCCTTAGTGTATGCTTATATCCCTTGCTCTTGTAATTTAATTTAACTTGTTTCTCTTCATCTACGTTTTGCCTCAGGGAGGGGATTTTTACCTTTTCCTCATTCTGTATGTTCTACTGTGTCGTCTGCCGACTGCCTAGCTGACCCTGGGTGTCCCCCTTTCACCCTCGTTCTCTTTTCTCTTGTTCTCCTCTCATCTCCTCTCTTTTCCTACTTATTCTCTCTGCCTTTCCCTCTACTGCCTAGCTATTGGCCTTCTACCTATTTATTAGACCAATCAGGTGCCTTATCCAGGAAAAGTAAATTAACAAGCTATCTTTATATAATTAAACAAATGTAGTGGAAACAACTGTACTACACCTTTACATAGTTGAAGTAATAGTCTGTAACGGAAATGTACCACACCTTCTCATAGCTGAAGTAATATTCTACAACAGGTAGGGCATGTGCAGATATCACAGTGCATGTGTGGCAGATGGAGGACAACTTTGGGGAAACAGTTCTCTCTTTCCAGGTTTCTGTGTGTCCCAGGAAGCAAATTCAGGTCTTCAGGTTTATGAAGGAAATGTTTGACCCTCTGAACTATCTTAACCAAGTCAAACTTTTTGTTGTTTTGTTCTTTTTTTCGAGATCGGGTTTTTCTGTGTAGCCCTAACTGGCTAACTGGCCTCGAACTCACAAGTACTGGGATTAAAGGCATACACTGCACCCAGCTCAAAGGTAAGTTGTTTTTTTTTTAACATTTTTTAAAGATTTATTTATTTATTATGTATACAACATTCCTTCCATGTCTGCCTGCATGCCAGAAGAGGGCACCAGATCTCATTATAGATGGTTGTGAGCCACCATGTGATTTCTGGGAATTGAACTCAGGACCTCTGGAAGAGCAGTCAGTGCTCTTAACCTCTGAGCCATCTCTCCAGCCTGGTAAGTTTTTGTTTTTGTTTTTGTTTTTGAGACAGAGTTTCTCTGTGTAACAGTCCTGGCTAACCTGGAACTAGCTCTTATAGACCAGGCTGGCCTCGAACTCACAGAGATCTGCTGCGTGCCTCTGCCTCTCTAGTGCTGGGATTAAAGGCGTGCACCACCACCACCCAGCAAAGGCAAGCTTTTTAAACAACTTTTTATTATATTTATTTGTATGTGTGGTGTGTGCCACAGAACTGTGGAGATTTGCAGGAATCTACTGTCTCTTCTACCTTGTAGTGCCCAGGATCCAGCTCAAGTTAGGATTGGCAGCAGGTGCTGTTAGGTTTGGCAGATGGCTGATCATCCTGCTGTGCCACATCCAACATAGCTCCAGGGACAGACCTGACTGGGGCAAAGACATACATAGAAAGCTGTGACTGGATGGTGTAGGCTCTTAGCTAGAGAAACCGCAGCACTCTGGAGATGAACAGAGTATTTGAGTTATTACGTACAGGTGACAAGGGGCAGGGTCTATGCTGTACAGCTGGATCAAGGAGACAAGCTTAGCTAATCTCATAGGAGCAGTATCTGGAGGGAGCAGTCTTTAGGACATAAATATCATGGTAGAAGAAGCTGTGTTGGACATTTTCTGCATACACAATCGACACTCAGACTTTGGACCGTACCCCATGCCCCCGAGGCTCTGCAGTTCCGGCGTGCCTTACTCCTGTCGTTATCTGTGGTCCTGAGCATGAGCAGGATTCTTTGTCTATCTTTTTTTTCAAAGGTTTATTTATTATGTGTATAGTATTCTGTCTGTATGTGTGCTTGCAGGCCAGAAGAGGGCACCAGATCTCATTATGGATGGTTGTGAGCCACCATGTGGTGGCTGTGATTTTAACTCAGGACTTCTGGAAGAGCAGCCAGTGCTCTTAACCTCCAAGCCCCTTTTTTGTCTGTCTTAATATGTTTTTCATTATGTTTTTAGGAAGGGAATATAATTTCTGTGTAAAGTTGCTATGTAGGGAGGCTGGAGAGACGACTCCGCAGTTAAGAGCACTGGCTGCTCTTCTAGAGGACCCAGATTCGATTCCCAGCACCCACATAGCAGCTTACAACTGTCTGTAACTCTAGTTCCAGGGGATCCAACACCATCACATAGACATGCATGCACACAAAACAACATAAAACGAGTGAGAAAAGTTTCTGTCTAGGGCAGTCTCCAGTTAGTCATATAGAGACTTTAGGTTCATGTCGGAAAGGATGAAAAATTCTTTCCTATATCCCTTTAACCTTTTCCTGTCTTTTCTCCTTCCTCAAAAGTGGTGGTATAGGGGCTGGAGAGGTGGCTCAGAGGTTAAGAGCACTCCTGACCTCCTCAGTACAGGAGGTCCTGAGTTCAATTCCCAGCAACCAACCACATGGTGGCTGACAACCATCTGTAATGAGATATGGTGCCCTCTTCTGGCCTGCAGGCATACATGGAGACTGAACACTGTGTACATAATACATAAATCTTTTTTTTTAAAAGGGTAAATATAACAGAAAGAATTCTAGTTCATATTAAGTTGTTACTTTATTCAGATTTGGTGAAGTCTTCACCCATTGCTTCATATAAACAACAAGCTTATACTGTTGATACATGTGTGTATTTTGGGTTTTTTTTGTTTTGGCTTGTTTTGGTTTGGTTTGGTTTTTTCGAGGCAGAGTTTCTCTGTAGTTTTGGAGCCTGTCCCAGAACTAGCTCTTGTAGACCAAGCTGATCTGGAACTCACAGAGATCCAACTGCCTCAGCCTCCCAAATGCTGGAATTAAAGGTGTGCGCCACCACCACCCGGCTCATGTGTGCATTTTGTAAGGGTGTGTCCCAGAGCTGGGGTTACGAGATGACCCAACACCCCGACTCCCTTGCTTCCTTTCACTTCTCTTCTTCCTTTTTCTCTCATACAGAGCGAGTTTCAGAACAGGCTCCAAACCTACACAGAGAAACCCTGTCTGGAAAAACAGAAAAATAAAACAACAACAAAAGCACTTGTTGCTCTTGCAGAGGATCCTGGTTCAGTTTCCAGCATTCACATAGTGGTTCATCACCATCTGCAACTCTAGTTCCAGGAGATCTGGTGCCCTCTGACCTCTAGGAGTATCAGACATGCACATGGTGCACAAACAGATATGCAGGCAAAAGACAAAACACACAAATGAATAAACAAATACATGCAAGCTGCATTTTTTTTTTTGAGACAGGGTTTCTCTGTAGCTTTTGGTTCCTGTCCTGGAACTAACTCTTGTAGACCAGGCTGGCCTCACAGAGGTCTCCCTGCCTCTGCCTCCTGAGTGCTGGGATTAAAAGCATATTTTTTTAATCAGACTTCTCCCCTCCAAAACCCTTCTCTTTGACAGAAGGGGAAGCATGTCCTCCTTGTTATGCTGCCAGAATCGTTCAGCGCAGCATCATGACCCATTGGTGAAGCAGGAGAGATAATGCAAACCAGAGAGCAGCACCACCACTACCCCACTCAGGTCAGGCCGAGTCTTTCCTGGCCCAGTGAGAGGACCAGTTACACACTTTTATTCTCAGTTTCCTAGAAGGCTACAGCAGAGAGATAATAAGTTTGGGACCGGCCTAAGCAATATAGTGACCAAAATCAATGGAGGGGGGGGGGTGAAATGAGTCCTTTACAGGAACAATCACCATCAGGGAGGGGAAACATCAGAAACTCCACCCCCATGACTTGTTTTTATATCCCATTGGTCAAAGTCAGGTTCAAGTCTGAAGGGGGCTAGAAAGGCAAGTGCTGGGAGAGGAAGGGTCTGCTTTAAATTTACCCCTGGGAATGAGCACTGAGTACCTGTCTCTCAACTGGAAGAATGGGAAGAAGGTCATCATAGATGCTTGCAGTGGCTTAGACCTTGAATGTCCCCCAGGCACCTGTGCTGGAGGCTTGATCCCCAACAGTGCAGCATGGGGTAGTAGTGGAACTTTCAGGAGGTAGGAACTCGTGGAAGGAAATTTCATGTCTGTGAAGTGGATAGTAGGACATAGGCTTTGTGTCTTCCACTTCCTGACTGCCATGAGCTACTTCTGCTAGCTCCAGACACTGACGACTGAAGCATTTGCACACACACACAAGTACAGAAGTCCCACAAAAACTGCTCCCTGGAGTTCCCTTGCACACAGACTCTAAATAAATGTTTTAAAAAATATATATTTCAGGGACTGGAGAGATGGCTCGGTGGTCAAGAGTACTGGCTGCTCTTCCAGAGGACCCAGGTTCAATTCCCAGCACCCACATGGCAGCTTACAACTGTCTGTAACCCCAGTTCCAGGGGATCTGACACCTTTACACCAATGCACATAGAATAAAGTATATATATATATATGTGTGTGTGTGTGTGTGTGTATGTATGTATTTCAAGTAAAGTGCACTGACCCTGGAAATGGCTCAGCAGGCATAAGGCTCTAAGAGTCTCATATAGAAGCTGAACCTGGTAGTATGCATCTGAAAGCCCCAGCGTGGGAGCAGGAACTGGGGGAGAAGTCTCTCTAGTGCTCTCTGAGTAGCCATACTAACTGAATCTATGAATTCTAGGTTCAGTGAGAGACCTTGCCTAAAAAATAATGATAGGGCTGGAGAGATGGCTCAGTGGTTAAGAAAACCTGAGTGTGGCTCACAATTGCCCAATAGCTCCAGCTCCATGTGGTCCAATGCCTCTGGCCTCCAAGGCACCTGTACTCGTGTGTCTAGACCCACACAGAGACACATGCATACACAGAACTGAAAAGTCAGAAGTAAGTAAGAAGAAAGGGAGAGGATGGCTGTGGTGGCACACACCTTAAATCCCATCACTCAGGAGGCAGAGACAGGTGAATCTCTGAGTTCAAGGCCAGCCTCAGCTACAAATTGAGTACCAGGACAGTCAGAACTGTTACACAGAAAAACCCTGTCTCTGAAAGAAGGGGGAAAAAAAGAGAAAGAAAAAGAAAATTTTGAGAGCCAAGTAGGGTGGCCAGCACTTAGGAGGGAGGCAGAGGCAGATATAGTTCTGTCTGGCTCCAAGACAACAGCAAGTTCCAAGACAACTAGGGCTATGTAATGAGATCCTGTCTCAAAAAAAACAACAACAAAAAGGAAAAAAGTTTCTAACACATATCTCTCTTTTTTCTTGCCTAGAATGTGGAGCAATGACAGCCATGATGACAAAACACCTTAATGCAGCTGGCCAGTGGTGACCCACACCTTTAATCCCAGCACTCGGGAGGCAGAGGCAGATGGATCTGTGGAAGTTCAAGACCAGCCTACAGATTGAGTTTCAGAACAGCCAAGGCTATACAGAGAAACCCTGTCTTGAAAAACAAAATTAATTAATTAATTAACAAAACAAAATAAAACCACCAAAACAAACAAACAAAAAACACCTTATCTGTCATATGAAACTGAATCTGTGCTTGCTGAAATGCTAATTCAGGGATCTGCCCCTGTGTCTGTGTGCCCATGTGTGTTTGTTCCTAACAAAGGGCTTTACTCCCTCTTTTATTGGCCTGCTCAGACAACATCACATCACATGGGAAAGGAATGAAGGGCTCTTCACAGAAGCCTTTAAGAGTGTTACAGGAATTAAATCACTGACCCAGATAATAAATGCTAGCTATCAAGCAGTATCCATATGCTGCTTCAGCATTTATGGCGAGTATTTGTTTAGTGAAGTTTGCTTTCTAGCCAGGGTTAGGAGGTTGAGGGGGTTGCACACCTTTACCTCTGTACTCAGGTGTCAGAGACATGTGGATCCCTGAGTGTGGGGCCAGCCTGGTCTACAGAGCATGCTCCAGGACAGCCAGAGCTACACAGAGAAACTCTGTGTGGGAACAAAAACAATAAATAAAATTGCTTTCTGCTTGTAGTCAGTCTTTCTTTGGACCACCAGCCTGGAAATAATGACAAGGAGACTTATAATTAATTATGAAAGCTGGCCTTTAGCTTAGGCTTGTTCCCAGTTAGCTCTTATAACTTAACCTGCTTATATTAATCTATGTTTTGCCATGTGGCTTTTTATCTTTTTTCCATTCTGCACGGCCAGTTTGTACCAAGTTTCCCTGGTGTCCTCTGTGTGCCTGGATTCCTCCTCCAGTTTCTCTCCCCACAGTTCCCACCTATTCTCTTCTGACTAGCTATTGGTCATTCAGCTCTTTATTAAATCAGTCACAATCACAGTGATACATCTTTACAGTGTAAACAAATTTTCTGCTACATCTGCCTATTTTCTGTCTTCAGCACTTATTACTATAAAACACACACACACACACACACACACACACACACACACGTGCATTATCCATGAATCAGTAGCAGGGAAGAGCATATAACTGAAGATTTAGGTTGTAAAAAAATGATCATATGGAAAGTCCAAGGCAAGAAAACTTGATTGTAACATTGTTCCTTAAAGGCAGTTAAGCAAACAGGCTGAGTTCACAGCAGGGGGTCAGACTTAAGTTTTAAGTGACCTCAAGGTGTGTTACTAACTCTAGTTGTAAGATCCAACCAAAGTTTGAGTCTTATACTGTAAAAGATATTTTTATGACATTGCATTGCCAGACTACCGACGTGTATGTGTGTGTGTGTGTGAGAGAGAGAGAGAGGGAGGGGGTATGTTTCTGTTATTTGTAGTTAATTGAAATTCATCAGTGTATAGTTCACTGTGGCTCATTTCTATCATGTCAGCACAGAGAAAGCAGAAGCAGGAGAATAGATATGAGTTCAAAACCAGGCTGGTCACATAATTCTTAGCCATCCAAAACTGCATAGTATAGTTATATTTTATTTGTATTTTAACAAATAAAGCTTGTCTGAAGATCAGAGAGTAAAACAGCCCCACTGGTCAGTCTTGCAGACCAGGCAGTGATGACGCACACTTTAATCCCCATAGCCACACTAGTTTGCCATAGTGTAGGGCCCATGGGTCCTACCCCTACCCCTGCTCTTGGGGTTCTTCTTGAGGACAGTTTCTGGTCAGCCAGCTAAAACATCCTGTTCATTCCTGTGCTCCCTCTGCCACACCTGGTGATCAGCTGTAGGGCATTGTTGACTCCACCTTGGGCGTGGTGATATCCCACCTGCCTGGGAGTATTCCATTGTGCAGCCGCTAGGTGTTTAAGGTTTTCCCTAAATTTGAATAAATGGCATTGGACTGTCTCCTTTGGAATGACCCAGGTCTTTTGTGTGTTCTTTCAATCTCTAGGCCCTTGCCCAGTTCGCAGACGGTACAGTGACACGCAGACTGTACTGAGAGTAACACAGGCGCAGGCGTTACACCATAGCAACCAATCAGTAGTATTGTACACCTTAGTTCCAGCACTCGGGAGGCAGAGGCTGGTGAATCTCTGTGAGTTCGAGGCCATTCTGGTCTACAAGAACTAGTTCCATGACAGGCTCCAAAGCTACAGAGAAACCCTGTCTCGAAAAACCAAAAAAAGGAAAAAGAAAGAAAATCCCAGCCCTGGAGAGGAATATAAAATGGGAGGAGAGCCAGGCAGTGGTGGTGCATGCCTTTAATCTCAGCACTCGGGACAGAGAGGTAAGTGGATCTCTGTGAGTTCCAGACCAGCCTGGTCTACAGAGTTAGTCCAGGACAGAGATTCCTGGAGGCAGGATCACCATTTCAGACTGAGGTAGAGGCAAGAGCCAGAGACTGACTGTTTTGCTTGTCTGACCTTCAGGTTGAACCCCAATATCTATCTCTGGGTTTTTATTATTCATGCTGCAACATTTTTTTTTGAGCCAATATCTATCTATAGCCTTGGCTGTCTTGGAACTTACTATGTAGACCAGACTGGCTTCTAACTCAGAGACCCACCTGCCTCAGCCTCCCAAGTGCTGGGATTAATAAAGGCATCTTCCTCTGCACCCTGACCTGATACCAATAAAAAACAGAAACTAAGCAAAACCCTTAAAACAAGCACACACAAATATAATATTAAATAAAGCATTGTTCAAAAACGTAAACTAATATAAGCTGGGTGGTGGTACTGCATGCCTTTAATCCCAGGAGAGGAAGATGGATTTCTGAGTTTGAGTTCAACCTGGGCTAGACAGTGAGTTTTGGGATAGCCAGGGCTACACAGAGAAACCCTGTCTTGAAAAACCAAAGGGAGAGAGAGAGAGAGCGCGCTTCATTTTAAAGAGTTCTTTTCTAAATAATTTCCATCTAGATTAGTGGAAATAATTTTTGGAGAACCTATGGTATCAGTGTGTTTATTGTCTCTTCTCATGCGTGTAAGCCCTTTTCAGCTACCTAGTCTGTGTATGTAACCAACCACCCGAAAACTTACAACTTCAAACAATGATTTATAACAAGAAAAAGTGTTTGATTTCTCTGGGTTCCATGTGGTGTCCTCTGGCCTCCTCAGCAGCTGCACCCGGCTGGGAGGTCTAGAATGACAGACAGCTTGGGCTTTGTTTTCTGTTGGGTGAAATACGGTGCTTCTTTTCCACATGACCTTTCTTTCTCTCCACATGTTCTTTTATCCATTGTTAATCTAGCTGGAGCTTCTTTGTAGGGTGGCTTGCTTTTAAAAGAATGAAAATGAAGCCACCAGGCGACTTCGGGGCTTGACCTGGATCTGGCACACATTCTCTTCTGCTGCCATCTAAGTCAAGCGCACCAAGCGCTTGGAAGCTGCTTTTGCTCAAGTTAGACTCAAGGCTGAGGGCACAGGGATGGTCGTTGTCCTACACCTGCAGTCACCTTGGGCTCCAGGAAGAACAAAGCTGTTGAAGATGAGCCCCCTCCGCCAGATCAGATGAGGGCAGTGCTACTTCCTGGTAGCAATCATCTCATAGAAACCCGTGATTCACAGATTAACAACAAAAGATCAGGTTAGCAGTTTACCAATTGTCTTGTAGGAACGGAGCTGAGACAGTGAGGGACAAGGGCCACACCTGACCAGGACTCTTAGTTCTGCATGTATCTTTATTCCTGCCTCAGATCTCTGTTTAAAGCAAAGCTTTTATAGTACCCTGAAGATGAACTTGGAGCCATGGCCCCCTTTATGTGTTCCTTTCCCTAAGAGCGATGAAATCTTCCTGCTCTGCCTCACACCCTTGTTCACCACCTTAATTGCTACTTTGGGATGAGTGACCAAGCCTGACTTTGTTAGAGCTGCTGGAGCCGAGGCTTCTGCTCTAAAACCCCACTTACAGCTTGGGCGAGTCACATACCTCGCAGCGAAGCCATTAGTAACACGTCATCCTAAATGCTTGGGGACGATTGAATGGGTCCATACAGATGTAGGGATCACTTTTATTTTATTTTTTTTTGAGTATCACAAAAGTTTATTTGGCAAAAAGATGTTGTTGTTGTTGTTGTTGTTGTTTTAAATGAAAATGTACATTGCCCAATTCTACATCCAAGCACAGTTCTTTGGGGAAGGATGTGAATTTCTGTTGAGCAGCCATTATTTAGACTCTTTCCAGGGCTTCTAATATGATGACGCTTTTCCTCATATGATCACCATGCCGACGTCATTCTGTTGCCCGCTAGTTACCATCTCCATACACTCATCAGTGACAAGATTCATAAAAGGATCAAAGCCCCGAAGTATTCCTTGTACATGTCTGCCACCATTTAACTTCATTCTTCAGTATGGGAGGGTGGGCCTTGCTCATGGCGACTCTCCAGCTGGCTTGGCAAGACAGAAAGGAGCCGGCGGCCTTACAGACACACACACGGCAGGCCCAGCCAGGACTACTTTTATTATAGGGACTACTTCTTCCTTCTCTTTTTCCTTCTTTTTTGTTCTCCAGACAGGGATTCTTGGTGTAACCTTGACTGCTCTAGAACTCACTCTGTAGCCGGCATCTAAATAAGAGATCCACCTGCCTCTGCCTCCCAAGTTCTGGTATTAAAGGTGTGCACTATCACCACCTGACTGGATGAATCTCTATTTATGGCTTTTTTGGTTGTGTTATTGTAAAACTTTGACGATACTGTTACCAGATTGGAACGTGGTATTTGGGGTAACCTAAATCCATATTCCTGTGCAATAATAGATCATATTTGGCTTCAGAATAAACTCTTGTTCACTTTGAGGTGGAAGCTCTGTTTTTATTTTGTTGTGTGTGTGTGTGTGTGTGTGTGCTGACAGACACTGATATAAAACTAGAATCTTATGCTCTCTAAAGCAGCTAGGTCTCTCTCTCTTTCT